GTGTTAACTGCTAACACTATATCGGGGTCACTGATGAGGAGTGGAATTATCCAAAACTAGTCTGGCTCACAGACACACACCCCAATGAAAGAATAGATCATTCCAAGCTTTTACTTGTTGTTAAACAAATGTTTAAACAACTATATATTTTATGGCAACTGAAAGATGAATAAAAATTACAGAATTATATAGACTTTTTTTTTGTTTCACACAAAGGTGAAGAGAATATCAGTATATTGTTTGTTTGTTATTAAGCACAAAGTTACACAATGGGGTATCTTGTGATCTGCCCACCATGGATATTGAAACCCAATTTGTAGTTTTGTAAATCTGTAATTTTATATAAAAATTTCTTTTAATACCCATATCAGCCATCTCTACCATGGTTTACTTCAAGTGAGTTCCTCAACATCATGAGCCTGCAATCTTACCACTAGGCCACTGAAAGATTCTGGGAATTTAGGAATACAATCCTATGGGAATTTACGAAACCTTGAATTTTGCTCTCTACTAGTTATTACTTAAATGTTCTAAAGAATTTTTTGCTTCTAAATAAACGAAAATACTTGCACTTGTGCAAAGGAGAGAAGGCGTATTTTCTGTTATATTAAACTGAACATTAAAATAAACATAAAGGAATCTTTTCTAACATCAATATTTTGTAATTTTTATATAAGAATAAATGTTTATTATCTTTTTTTCAAAGTACAATAGGTAAAGACACACCTCTTTCTGTGGGAGTTCCAGATCAATTGGCTGGTCTACTTCAATATTACACCACATTCTGTGACCGAAACCTCGACCATGATGGTAGAGTCTCCAATGGCTCTGATAGTGTCCTGGTTCTAATGGAGCAGTGAACTGGACAGCTAATGTTCCTTCCTCTCCTGCTTCCAATGGGGGTACACTTACCTTAGTACCAGATGGAACCAATCCCATTGTTCCCCAACAGTACTTCAGCTACAGTCAGTATAGTATATGATAAGTCAAGGATCTTGGTACTGGTTTGTTCAAATAATTAGTGATTTTTTAAAAAACAAAGAAATTAAGGCAGAAAATAAGATGTTAGAAATGACTAAAAATTATTTTATATATATACTGCTCATCTTATGGTTCGTAAACCTAGCAGAACAGTGGCAAAAGTGAGTTATTATTATCATCTTTATTCTCAAGAACTCTTCTCTCAATATCGTATCGTGAGTCTTAGTGTATCTGGCAAAACTCTGGGAATTTCAGTTAGTGTTGCACTATGTTTATGGCTATGTTTCTCTTGACATTTTAACAGCTAAGATACTATATCGTATCCTCTTATAATAAAATTTTCTGTACTGGATCAAGTTTCAAGTTTTTTATTATATAATAATAAAATTTGTCATTTTGTTTATGTATTTATATGATTTTATAGAGTATGATGGGGGGCCCCAAACATTACCTGGGCCTAGGGCCCTACTAAACCTTAATCCAGCCCTGCCAACATGCAAGGGCATTTATACTGGTTCCATAATAATAAGATTAATCTAAAACAATTCAAGTATTATACAATATGTTCAAGCAAACTTTACTGTGACGGCATCTAGAAAACTAGTTCAAGATTATAATAAATGCAGAGAATGAAACACTGCTAACAATAAAGGAGACTCTCCTGATTTGGCACAATAAGCCAGCTTCTAATAAACATCAAAATACTGCAGAACTTTTATTAATGATTAACAACAACTATTCATTCTCTTTTCACTTTAGTTTCACAGAAGTACTGATAACGTTTTTAGTGCCTCCTGGTGTGTATAATTGGAACTACTTTTCCAAACAAAAGATGCACACATGTTACATACTTCAAAGTTATTCACTTGATATGTGGATTTGTTTTAAAAGATATTTTGCAGAAGTACCATTTAATGAAAGATGTGAACCTGTAAAACTAAAAAAATTTACTTATTTGGCCTTGATCTCAAAACGACTCAGCCTAAAAGCAACAGACTAGCTTTGAATTGATAAAACACTGAAATTATTCTTTTTATGAATAAGCTTTCTATGTAAAATATTAAACTTACTATAATTATGGGTATGTGTCAGCATCCATCACTCAGAATTGGTTGGCTTGATTACCATCATTTTTTGTATGGTAACTGGAAACTGTCTGAAGGTGTATATGGGCTATTTTAAATTTTTGCTTGAGAAAGGGGATAAAGGAAAATCCATATTCACCTTTTTACAGACTTTTGACTTTTAATTTAAAGACACAAGTACTTAATCAGTTAAATCATTTGATTATTAACTTTCATAAAGCAGGGTACGCAATTAACATCTGATGACATCATTAGAGATTTAATAACGAAATAAAAAGGGAACCATTATATAACATTGTTCTTTATACACTTTTTGCTTCCTTAATGGATACCCTCACCTAGTGATGGTAAAGAAAATAGTGTATTTAAAATGGTTTGAAGAGATATTACAGTCCTGCTCAGTATTTTAAAACAAGTTTCACACCAGCTTGTTTGTATCGAAAACAATTCAAAGTATTAAAGTTTTAACACTAGTGATATACAAATACAATTACAGTTCACACTTGCAACAGATACAACAAATTTTATGCAAATGTTGATTGTCACATCGATTACAGAACTCTTCATTATTATTATTACATAGATAAAGCTATTGGATGGCCTTTTTATAAGCATTAATAATAATGTTGTAAGGCTATTGGATGGCCTTTTATAAGCATTAATAATAATGTTGTAAGGCTATTGGATGGCCTTTTTATAAGCATTAATAATAATGTTGTGAAATATAAAAACAGAGATAATACTTAGTTGGGGATTCATGAATGAAATTTGAACAAATTTTATTCCAAAATCAACAAAAACTGAAGAGAACTTCTGTATATATATATACTATAAAATTAACAGAACTATATTTCCATTTCATAAATCGTTAGCTTATTTTCAGAGTTCTGCAAAAACAACATTTTAAAGTCACCAATCCAATTTTATAGAAAGGATGTTGATTATAATTCCAAATTTACACATATCTACTTGACATATGGTGAGCTTTAAGTAAAATATACAAGTCTGTTGTACACACAAAATAAAAAGAAAAGATGTTACAAATGTATTTGTACTCAATATACATCTGCGAATTGACGATGTCTGCCTGACTCAGACTCTGAGAAGTTGGAGTGCTAGGTGATGTTCAAGTGAAAAATAAAAACACTTTTGTCCATTGTACAGTTTGTGTCTAGAAGCCCAAAAACACATATCTACATTTTTTTTCAGTATCCCTGTATACTGTACCTGGTATTTACTTTCCTCTACCATGAACTGTCACTAAATTAGCAATGTAGGGTAAAATAAAAAGTTGTTAATTCTAACATCAAATACATAATACCATGTTGAATGGTACGTACAATTTAGCCCTCAGCCATGCACCAAGGGTTAAAGTTCAAGAACTTCTGTCACAAAGAAGGCTGTAATTATACATATATATATATATAAATTAACAATGAAAGAACTGTTCTGAATAACAAAATAATAATAATTAGTGCAGTGTTATGATCTCTATGCAAGTATGTTACCAAAAATGTCATGTTAGTCGTAGCTCACATTTCTATACAAGTTTATTTACTGTCATTATTTGGTGTTATCATTATTTCGAACAAGGAAATTTTTCATGCTGAGAATAACACTAAAACAATGATTACTTCGTTATCAAGAGTAAATCATATACTCTTACCACTGTGTCAGCAGTCCAAGGTTTTGTTCCAGTATTCTGTACTCTCCATCGTTTTGTAAATTTGGTCCCAGGTTGCAAGTGGGTTCCATCTGGTATAGTTTCATCCTCAAGAAAATAAGCATCCATAAACCTAGCACAAACAGTCAAATATATGAATTACTTTAACATTAATAAACCTAGCACAAACAATCAAACACCTAAATTACTTTAGCATCCATAAACCTAGCACAAACAGTCAAATACTACCTAAATTACTTTAACATTAATAAACCTAGCACAAACAATCAAACATACCTAAATTACTTTAGCATCCATAAACCTGCACAAACAATCAAACACCTAAATTACTTTAGCATCCATAAACCTAGCACAAAC